AGGGAGGGACCGGTGGGAAATTTCCCGCCCGAAAGAGGCGAAGGACGTGTCGGAGGGGGCCGTCAGTCGGCGATGGAGCAAGTGGAGCTTCAGCGAGGATGGGAGGACGGTCCTCTGGACCTCGGAGGGGGAGGACGCGGCGGAGGTGGCGGCGCTTCCGCCCCTCCCTCCTCCTCTTGGTTGTCCCCCTTCCCCGCCCCCGCCCTCCCTCCCTCCCTTGGCGCCCAAGGCCCTCGCCAGCACCTCCTCCTCCCGCCCGCCCCCTCCTCCTTCCCTTCCTTCCCCCCCCGCCCCCACCTTCACCAGAAGCGCCGACCACACGCCTGCGAACCAACCCAACGACCAGGTGTCCAAACCCGTCAGCACCTCCCGGGCCCGTCGGGGCATTTCCTTCCCGACCCATCGCTCCACCGCCCGCAGATCCAGCTCCCGCGTCCGCACCTCCTCCCACTCCCGGAACAAATTCAAAAACAAATCCCGAGCCGTTTCTTGACGGTTGAAAACCTCCTGGCCCCACCCGCTCCCGGCGTAGAGTTGCCGTCCGTCCTTCTCCTCCACGAAGGGAAGGGCCACCTCCCCCCCCCACCTCCTCCCCTTCCCGTCCGCATCTCTGTGATGTGGAAGGAGGGCGAGGGAGGTAGGGCCCGGGCGGTGCGAAGAGTGGGGCAGACGGGTGAGGGAGGGGAGGGCGTGAGGGACGTGGTCGTGGAGGGCGGGCACGTGGAGGAGGAGGGAGAGGAGGGAAGGAGGGAGGGAGGAGAGGAGGTGCGGAAGGAGGGCGAGGGTATGCGCGGCAAGGAGATTGCAGGCGTGGCCCGAGGTGAGGAAGGGGGGAAGGGAGGGAGGGAGGGCGGGCGGGCGCAGGAGGAGGGCGGGATGGACCGTGAGAAGGCGGAAGAGGAGGTGGAGCTCGGTGGTTAAGGAAGGTGCAAGGCGGAGGGAAAGGAGCGACGCGTAGACGGAGGCGACGAGGAGGAGGCGAGAGGAGGAAGGGGGAGGGAGGGAAGGAGGGAGGGCGAGGGGGAGGGAGGGGCTGGTCCCTGCGGCGCTGCCGGGGAGAGAGCAGGAGGGAGGTAAGGAGAAGGTAAGGGTGGATGGGAGGGAGGAAGAGGAAGAAGAAGAAGAAGAAGAAGGAGGAGGAGGAGGAGGAGGAGGAGGAGGGTGACGCCTACATGGAGGCCGCGGAGGCGCTTTGGCGAGTGTCCGGGGCCCGGGGCCGCCGCCGACAGCTAAGGCCGAGCCGGAAGATGACTTTGGTGGGGAGGAGCAGTCGCTGAGGAGCGCGTCTCAGGACGAGGGGGACGGCGGGGCGGGCACAGAGGGGGGCTCCATGCGAGGGGCCAGGGCGCGGGGGGGACTCTCCTCCAGGCCCCTTCTGGACAACGGCGTGCCGGGCGCGAGGGCAAGAAAAGGGTCGGCAGCTGGCGCCCGCGGGGAGGGAGGTGCGCCCCTAGGAGGGGGTCGGAAGCGGACGTTGGGCCGCGCGGGGGCGGGAGAGGGGGAGAGCGATGAGGGTTCGTCGCTAACCCCTGAGCTTTGTGCTCAAGGAAGTAAGCGGGCCGCCGAGGGCGTGTCCTCGGTGCCTGCTGCGGCGGCGGAGGAGGGCAGTGGGGCCTCGGCTCAGGACGGAGAGAACAGGCACAAGGGTGGCGCGGGGAAGGCTAAGAGAAGAAAGCGCTAGGATGGAGGGGGTAGGGAAAAGGAGGGGCGTGGGAAGGACGGGCTTTGGGCTCGAGGGGCCTCGAGGGCCATCAGGGACATGAGGGAGGGGGTTCTTCTGACCTTGGATAGCGGTGGTTTAGACAGGAGAGGAACTAGACCAGTCATATAAAAAGTTAGCGATGCGACTCTCATGCGAGAGGGAGATAAGTGTTGCCACAGGCGACGCATACACTTTTCTGTGTGGAGACAAAGCATTAGTAAATTCAGACGAGCGAATTGTAAGTTTTGCGGAGGCTGCGGGCAAGGTGTCTTCTCTGGTGAGGGTGGGCGAGGGGTGGTACGAGACGAGCGTTGATGCTTCACGAACGAAAAGCGAGGAAAGGAAGAGCTCACTGACGGCATGGGATACTTTTCTCTGGTGCCTGAGATGATATTTCTTTACATAAATTGACAAGAGGTTCATATCTGCACCCTCATATACGAGAAACCCATCTCCCCTGGAGGAGCACCGGACATGTTGGGAACTCCTACCACCTGTCTGCTTCTCTGTAAGCTACGGCGCGTCTTCTGTCCAAACATTCTCTACCGCTATTGCCGTTCTCGCTAATTGGAATTATGCTCTCTTTGCCCCAGGGCAGACCAGTGGTGCTTCACTTCAGGTGGAAAAAGACCGCATGGGAGGGCCGTTCTTGCGCTGAGGGTGGTAAGAGTGCGCGGACGTGGAGAAAGAGCTGGAAGAAGGCGATGGGGGGACGAGGGAGGAGGACCGGGCTAGGAGCGGCAGTGGCAAGGCAAGGCCGGTCTGTCGCCCTCCCGAGTTCATGCTCTTACAAGAGTCGGTGGAAAGTGGTGAGGGTGCCAATGGAGAAAGGCTGGCGCTGGACAAAGCAGGAGAGCCCATGGATGGCATTGGGGGGGCCGATGAGGCCGGTAGGGGGGCGCCTGCCGCATGAAAGCTTCCTGCGCAGGCCGACTTGTTAAGGCAATTCACAAGTCCCCGATTACGAGAAGGGGCACTGCTGCTTTCACGTCCTCGTTGCCCTCTCTCTGCCCTCCTCTCATCCTCTGCCCGCCCTCCTCTCCTCTCATCCTGGCGGCTGTGCGGTCCTCCCGCCTTCACGCGATTCCTCCCCGGCACCGCCTCGTTGTGGATCCAGTACTGAGTGTTGCGAACAGCGGCCGCAAGAGAGACAGCGCCAAACTGTCGCAACCAGGGCGCTCCCAGCAGGATCTCGGGCGGGAGCCGCCGACGTGGATCCTTCTGCAGCATGTTGTCCAGAAAGCCATGGAAGTCCCGAGAGAACTCGGTGCCGGGAGGGAGTGTGGGCGGCTCACTTTCTGTGATGGCTTGAATCATGTCAATGCAGCTGTGCGCGCGACTCCTGCGTCTCCTTCCTCCTTTCGACGCCGAAGGAGCCGAGGCCACCCCCGCCCCTCTTCTCCCCCCAGGCCCGCCACCCGCTCCGTCCACCGCCTCCATCTCCTCTTCCTCCATTCCAGCATCGTCCAAGCCCTGCAAGTAGGGATAGCGACCGGTGGCACATTCGATCAGCGTCAGCCCCAAGCTCCACACGTCCGAGGCGTAGTCGTAGGGATCGTTCCGTATGCGCTCCGGTGACATGTACTTGAACGTGCCCACAAAGGTGCCGCACATGGCCAGGGAGCTCTGCAGCTCGGCAGACAAGCCAAAGTCAGAGACCTTGACTTCACCGTGGCTGTTGATGAGGAGGTTGGAGGGCTTGATGTCGCGGTGCACCCGCTTGTCGTGCTTCAGGTAGGCCAAGGCCCATAGGATCTGGAAGACCATATTGGCCAGCGCGCGCTCCGGAATGGGGCCGAGTTGGGCGACAAGGTTCGCCAGAGCCCCGCCATCCATCATCTCAAGGGCGAGGGTGATGCAGCCCTCCCGGTAGAAGGCGCCGTAGAACGCGACAAGACTCGGGCAGGCGGCGTCGTACAGGGTCCGGATCTCTCGGATCAGCTGAGAGCGCCGGGACTTGTCGAACACATTGATTACTTTCAGAGCCAGTCGCGTGCCTGTCGGCTTGTGTAGCGCCTCCAGCACGGCTCCAGTGGAGCCCTTACCGATTACTTTGCCTATCTCCAGGTCCTCGTAGGCTACTCGGAAGGTCTTGGGGTGGTCGCGCATGGCCAGACCGCCGGCGCCGATGGCGAGCCCCACGCGGTTTTGCCTGCACCCGCCGCGGAGGAAAACGTTGTCAAGTTCGTCATTGAAGTCGAAGGATTCTTCCACGTTGGAGCTCGCCTCGGGTGTCTCGACATCGGTCAGACTCAGCGACAGAGACAAGCAGGACGGGCGCACAGAGAGATTGGAGGCGGCAGGATTTCCTGGGCGTGAGTTTGGAGCAACAGACGACAAACTAGCAGCTCGCACAGGCAGTTGGGGAGGAGGAATTGTATACTTTTCCCATGCGTTTGAGGCCGCCATACGGGGAGTTTCCAGGTAGGAAGAGATGCCTGGGGCGGGGGGCTGCAGGCAAGACGATGATACCGATGCCGACGGGACGTGGTTCCCTCCACTATCGAGTGATCCCTCCGCACAATTGATAGGAACAGTGTCGTTCGCCGTCGAGTGCGACGACGCGCACCGCAAAGGAGGCAGCCAAGCCAATTTTCCGACAGGTCTAGGAGCACGCAATCAAGGTGCTCGGGAGCTGTGCGTTTTCCTCCTTGCCTACCTAATAAATTGATTGAATGGCTCCTGTCTTGATGAAAAGGTTTATATTTTGTTAGGTTCAGAGTAGGCGAATGCTTTTGCGCACATGTTGAATTGGCATTTGCGTGAAAGCCTGGTGTGACCGAAAGAGGAGCTTCTTTGATTCGTACAGAAAGCCGATATTGCTCACGGAACAAGCTGGGACAGATCAATTTCTGACACTTTCCGGAGAGGCAAAACACCAAGCACGAGACAGGTACATCTTCAAAGGGAGCAATTGCAGCGCCTGAATATGGAATGTCGTGGAATGGGCGAAAAATCTCGGGCAGGGAGCGGGTTGCGTGCGGGCCGGGAGTGCACAGCATTTCAAAGTCAAGGTCGTGGGCGACGGGGGCGAGCGTCCCACGGGGTCCACGTCATAACAAGTGAGGTTGCGGCACCATCAGGAGGCAGTGAGGGCACAGGAAAGGATCCCTGATTGGCAAGTAGACATACATTGCCCGCATGACTTCAAACACGGAAGAAAGTTGTAGTAGCGGGTGTTAGGCTCCAGTCCTGGTCGTGTTGTGCCGTAGGACGGAGCCGAGAGCATGCCAGGAGCCGAGACGGCCCATTCCCACCGCTCTCGATTAAAACGCTGGATCACCGCCATTAGAGGTTGGACAGCAAGCACTGGGTCTCTTCATGACTTGCACGTTTGAAATATATGCTCAATTACACATGTACACCTGCCTTTCGAAGCCAAAACCTCCCCACGGAGCCCGTCAGACGAGCTCCGTCTCAGTTGATCCACGTCATCCTGGAAAGCAACGTCCACCTGGAATGGACACTGCAAAACTACCTTGTAAATACTTTTGCTTTCATTAATTTACTGGCGTACATCAACAACGTAATACTCTATTGACACACCATTCCGGGATTTCCAACGGAATTGGTGACTTTCAGAGAATATATCAAATAGGAACGCTGCTGAGATGAAGGCCCGGCGAGGAGACCACAACCACAGGCGGGCGAAATACCGCTATGGCTTATTGTTGCTATATAGAAGGCCAACCGTCTTTTTTTAATCCTTCTCAGCCCCGCTTTGGCGAGACATGCAGCTCCTGAGCAGCTTCAACACATTCCTGCCATTGCAATCTACGCTCCTCACCCTTTTCACGCTCCGCCGCCTTCCCCGTTTAAGCCCCGAGTGGCCCTGTTCCACTTCCTCGCCAACGCTCTCGCTCCCTCGCCGTCCGCTCCTCCCGACGTGTCCGCTCGTACTGCTGTAACCACAAAAACGAACCCAGGATAGAGGCCATGTACGATAACAAGCCTAAACCTTCAAGATCCGCCAGCCTGACTGCTCCTATAATAGGCGAAGGGTTCAGGGGAAGCACGTGATCCTGCGCTTCCGCGGAGGACAATCTGGAAGGCGCAGCGCCGGGAGGAAGCGGTCCGGCGTGCTGGCCGGGAGTCCTCCAGAGGGTCAGTGCGCTGTACACGAGCAGGCCCCACCCCAGAAGATGGAAGCATCCTACAACCGCGAATACCAGCAGGGGTGCCAGGACCTTACGGGTCGAGATAAGTACACCTTTGATCCGCATCAAAGCCAAAGATAGGTAGAGGAATACAGGACGTAAAGGGGCGAGGGAGGGCAAGGAAAAAAGGTTCCGTGTGTGGAGGGCGCCGGCTGGGTGAGTAGAATGCGATGAATAAGCACCGTCAAGATGTAGTGACGAAGAGTCTGGGGAGAGGGGAGGGGGCGTACGGCTGGCGGATGACGATAGGCCTGAAACTTCAAGAACAGGTGGAGAGCTGGCCCACTGAGAAAGAGGGGGAAAAAAAGGCAAATTGGGCGACAGTAAAGGCTGCGGAGCCTCCAGATCGTCCATTTCATCCAAAATCGTGCCTGCTGAATGTGTACGGGCATTATGGTTTGGCTGTCAAGAAAACATGCACAGAGCACATAGATAGATTTCAAACCTGAGCCCATGGATGGATCAGGGCAACATTTTGGGACTTCCAATCAGGGGCAGCTTTGACACCCTCCGATGTGTCCGAATACTCACAAGCAATTTTTGTACGCATGAAAAAAAATTCGCGCTCGCAAGACCTCTGATGACATGCAGGGGCAACTCTTTTCTTCCTCGCTTTCAACCATCATCATCTTCAAGGACGCTGGTGTCTGGGAATGTATGTGCCTACCACTCCATTTCCGACACTCCGCCCCCAAGGCACCAAGCAGCGAGTGCTGCATTAGCATTTTTGGTCGACAAGGAATGCATACAATCGTAGGCGTGCGGGCCATCCTCGGCTCAGGCTATATATTGGTCTCAGGCCCGGGCAGCATTCCGGCACTTCAACAACGCCGTGTTTCCCAGCCGTTGCCGACAGGGGAGAGCCTTGGTCCTTCCTTTCCCTACAAAAGACAAACGAATCGCATTTACTAAAGAGGAATGAAACAACATGGCATTGGTACCACCTGTATATTTCTTTTAAAGCGCAATCTTGCACGCTGAAAGCTCACGTGCATGCGTTTATCTTAAGAGAAGCTCGCTAAGTAAAGTACCTCCCCGCAACGATACTCCCGAAGACCAGCCCCCCCACCCATTTATTGGACTCGAAACGTGCAGACAAATTGCTTGAACAATTCAGATCAGCTGTGATGAGCTGCCAAGCTAAGTGGCTTGCGGTCAAACCTGTGCCCAAGTAAAAGTGCCAAGACAAGTCCGCCTCAATTCCCACCAGAAGCAACCCTCCAACCATGGCCGCCGACAACCCGGTCAAGACTGGTTTAGTGCCGCTGTCACCGAATGTCAGTGCAGTGGAGCGTATACCAAGCCGTGAGTCGTCTCTCTTATCTTGGTGCGCGTACAACGTGTCGTAAACGACCGTCCAAGCCACGGCGGAGGCATACAAAGGAAGGACGATGGGCCAGTCGCATGAGCCGTGTGTGGCTGCCCAGCCCATGAGTGCTCCCCAGTTGAATGTTATTCCCAGAAAAAGCTGAGGATAGTCCGTCCAGCGCTTCATGAGGGGGTACGCGAGAACCAGTGGCACAGAAGCCATGCCAAGATAGATTGTGTACTCGTTGAGCTGCGTCAATACCCCCAGGCCTGCCAAAAGCTGAATTCCAAGGAACCCAACGCCATTTTGGACAGATATTTCTCCTGATGTAATGGGTCTGTGTTTTGTTCTCGCCACGTTTTTGTCAAGGTCCCGATCCCACAGGTCGTTGACCGTGCACCCTGCTGAGCGCATGACAAGGGTCCCTACCCCAAAAGCGGCCAGAAGCTTCCAATCCGGCAACGCACCGGGAGCAGCTGCAAGGGCAAGGCTCCAAAAACCTGGCCACAGCAATAAATAGGTTCCGATTGGCTTGTCGAGACGCGCAAGTCGCATGTAGGGTTGAACGGCCTTTGGCATGCTTTCAACAAATCGAGAAGAACGAGGTGTTAAAGGTGGCGGTGGCGAGGGTCGTGATGAGGATACGGAGGCTAAATAGTGGCGTGTAAGCTTTGGAATAGGACCGAACATCGACATAAAGGACCCATGGCGGAGGCATGGATGGCATGCCAATTCTTTCTGGAGGTCTGTGCTGTGAAATCTTTGTCTGCCGCGTCGCATTGTACAAGAGGGGTTTTCCAGCCAACAAGGATGACGGGCATGCACATACACACAAGGTAGATGACATCTTAAATGATGGGATGACAGGTGTACAAGTCGCTGGCGGCTTGTACTGTGTTTTCTGCTTGTTGTCCCGCGGATCAGCCTCCCGCCCCAAGCCATCCACATATCCAAAAAGATTAATCAATGGGCAGAGAAGGCACTGACTTCTTAAAGCTTACACCTGTGAATGTAATAATTAAGAGCTAGACGTCTTAGCGCATGAACATTGGACGGACGGCTCGGCGACAGGAGTGAGCGAGGCTCAGAGACCGGGCGTACGTGCTTGACTCGCTGTGTGTCGCGGGGTCGGACCAGGAGGTTCTCTCTCGAAGGACCTGCTCAAGTGACGCGATTTCAATCCTGCAACGATACAGGACACGAAAACGCAATGCATCGGCGAAATTTCCTACCTCCGCAGCTTTTGAGCGGCCTACTGATCGCCTCCTTACCTGGAGCGATCTTTTTTACCGTCCCTCATCGTCCTTCCATCAGACAAGCCCTACCCTGTTCCGGCGTACTGCCCATGGCGATCAGTCGACATCAGTCCAGTCTCTTTGCCAGCACCACCGCGCCATCAAGATTGAAAGATACTTTGATTGAAGAACACGATGTGGTTGTCATTGGATCCGGCATTGGAGGGCTAAGTTGTGCCTCGTTGTGCTCTGCGACCTACGGACTGGACGTGGCCGTAGTTGAAAGCCACTACCATTGTGGTGGAGCCGCACACGCATTTGAAATCGACGGCTTCATTTTTGATTCTGGACCCTCACTCTTTAGTGGTTTATCACAAGATGCAAGTCCCAATCCTTTGTTACATGTCTTCCAAGCTATAGACGAAAAAGTGGATTGGCTAACGTATAATACGTGGGGCGTTTGTCTACCGTACGGGAACTTTGCCGCCACTATTGGACCCGAGCCGTTTCGAGACATATTGAAAACATACGGGGGTAAGGATGCTCAGGAGCAATGGGAGCGGTTTATGGCTCTCATCAATCCTCTCTCAGAGGCAGCCATGGCCCTCCCCCCCTCGGTGCTTCGGAACGATCCGGGCGTCTTGCTGACCATGGCCAGGTTTTGGCAGGCGGTCGCCACCACAATCCCTAAAGGCCCTCAGCTCCAGCAGCCTTTCTCGACGGTCCTTGCAGAAGCCGGCGTGACCGACCCGTTCATCCGGGACTGGCTCAGCTTGCTATGCTTCCTGCTGCAAGGTATGACTGAGGAAGGAACCATGACAGCGGTCATGGCCTACATGCTGGCCGATTGGTACCGTCCGAACGTGCTGCTCGACTATCCGCGGGGGGGTACAGGCGCTGTGATAGATGCCCTCGTCCGGGGCGTCACGAAGACAGGCGGGAAGGTTTACACCAGCGCGCACGTGGAAGAGATTCTGATAGAGGGCGATCGCGCGGTGGGGGTGCGTCTCAGGTCTGGGAAGATCCTGCGGGCTCGCAGAGGCGTGGTGTCCAATGCTTCGGTCTGGAACACTGCCCGGCTCCTGCCTGCGGGCCTTTTGCCCGAATACCAGGAGCGAGTGGGGCGCGTGTCTCAGACAGAGAGCTTCCTTCACCTCCACCTCGGAATCGCCGCCGAAGGCCTCCCCGGGGACCTGCAGTGCCATTACGCCGTGGTCGATGACTTCTCTCAGCCCATCAACAGCCCAGGGAACGTCGTCATCATCTCCATCCCTAGCCTTCTAGATCCTTCTCTGGCGCCCACCGGCTCGCACACCATTCACGCCTACACCGCAGGAAACGAGCCCTTCGCCCTCTGGGAGGGCCTGGACCGCCAGGGCCCTGACTACAAGCGGCTGAAAGAGGAGCGGAGCGAGATTTTGTGGCGGGCCATCGAGAAGGTCATCCCCGACGTCCGTGCGCGCATCAAGCTCTCCTTGGCCGGGACGCCCTTGACGCACGCCCGCTTCTTGCGACGGGACAGGGGCACCTACGGCCCCGCGATCAGGGCGGGAAAGGATTCCTACCCCTCTGCTAATCCCCTCCCAGGCCTGCACCTGTGCGGGGACAGCGTCTTTCCCGGGATAGGTAGGTGGGGAAAAGGCGTCGCTGCGCGCGTCGGATCGGAGGGGCTTTCTTTACTCATCTCACAAGCGCCCTTGACGCTATATGCTTGAAGATGCACGCTCACTAACCTGTCTTCAACATCGTTATGGTCACAGGTATGCCTGCCGTGGCCGCGTCGGGGAGCATTGCCGCCAATAACCTGGTCTCGGTGCGACAGCACTGGAAGATGCTTGACAAGCTCAGGTTGGAGTAGGCGATCAAATAAAAGCTTTCACCTTGCAAAGTAATGAGAGCGACAGTTCACACGACACGTACACGTTGCGTTCAGATGAACACGCTGTTTTTTTAAAAGCCGTTGAAAGCTCTCCCACCACCCTTGGCTGAAGTCATGGCTCTCCCATTACTCTTCCCGGACAAATGAATTGCTTAAAAACTTTTCGGTGAAAGTATTTTTTTCTCTATATTTCCGCGGCGCTTCTGTATCCGCCGCCAACAATCGGAGGAGGTGAGTCTTTTGCTTCCATTGCATCAATGTCTCCTCTAGCTCCATGTATCCTTTCTTCACCAACATGTCCACTATCACCGGGTCCTGCAAATGCGCATTCTTCCGGAACAACACTTGCACTTGGGCGCGGGCCTGTGAGTGGAAGAGCAAGCATATGAGTCGAGGAACGGTGATCTTTAGCTAGATTACAGATATACAGACATCGTCGGATGGCAGGGAGGAAGAGTGGACGCCAGTGCTGTGGTCTGTACTTAGGTAGGGTTCTCGCAGGCGTCGCTGCCATTTGGAGAACAACGCATCTGTTCCCGAAGGGGCCCGGTAGTAATTGTCGAGCGCTATTGCTTAAGGCATACGCTCTGCAGACAAGCCTTCATCCAATTTCGCGCAATACTGTGCGGATCAACGAAAAATGGCATGGTAACTTGAAGACCGCTTCATGCAATACACATACCTCTGCAGGAGCCAAATCCGCGTCGTAAATGGTAAGCACTCGTGGCAATTCCTTTGAGATCGTACGATACAGTTGTACCACCGGATTCCTATTAGTACGGATAAAGCATACGGATAGGATGGAATTATGGATGGTCAGTTTAAGGGTCTTGTACGGTGAAGCTTGATGTTATCGAAAAAAAGACATGTGCGACAAACGTCCTGACCCACCAAACAATGGACCTTTCCACATCGCAGCACTAACCTGGGTGTTTTGTCCTTGCCCATGTAGCTGGCCACAGCCTTGAACGCCATGATACGAGCCTGCAGAAGTCAACATAGGAATGGTGTGTAGGTCTCGAAGTAGACAGCAAGATCCTCTCGGTCTGAGTGACCCTATGGCTCTGCCCGACCATGCCTACAAGAAACTACGACTCTTGCGACACGCGTGTTAGCACACGTGCCTCTTACGTCGAACCCTAGCGTCGTCGACACAAGCGCGGCCACAGAGGCCCTCTCCCGTGTGGCAGTGTCTGGGCGTCGGGGCAGCTTTGCCGACTCGCCCTCTAGCTTCGCTCGCTTTCTTCCGTCACGCCCATGCCCATGTCCCTCCGCTTAGGCAGCTTGAGGCCTCCCCCGACACCCTCTGGGACTCTGTGCGCCGGCATTTCGTGTCTTGCTTGGCTTTGAAATCATTCGCATATCGTGTTTTGATCGTTGATTTCTGTCATTTTCCCCCGTTGTGCAACAAATGGGATAGCATGCGAGGGGACGTATTCATTCAATCAGTCTGTGCAACGCCGACTCACGCTGTACGATTACGTAGACAGGTGGAGAACGATGGCAGTGGTCCTACAAAAAGGATTAGCAACCGCAATGCTGGCGGTGGCGGTACTTCCTTTGACGAAAGGTATTTTCTACTTGCCTGGTGTCGCGCCCCGCTCCTACGAGAAGGGGGAGTCGGTACGGCTCTTTGTGAACAAGCTCACGTCTACCAAGACACAAATTCCGTATGACTACTACTCCTTGCCGTTTTGCCACCCTAGTAAGGTCCAAGGTGAATCCGAAAATCTGGGCGAGGTACTGGTCGGGGACCGCATCGAGAAGAACACGCTCTACGAACTCAATTTCAAAGTGCAAGCGCCTTGTCAGACGGCGTGTCGGGTTCTGTTGGATAAACAAAAGAAAGACAAATTCATTAAGGCAATCGATCAGGAATACCGCGCACACTGGATCGTGGACAACCTGCCCGTGGCGGTGAAGGCGCACAACGACCTGCGACCGGACGACGCCTTCTTCATTCGTGGCTTTCCTGTGGGTGGCATACAAGACAAGAAACACTTTCTCTTCAATCACATCCGACTGATGATCAAGTATCACGAGGAGCGAAACGACGTACCGACGGAGGGGGGGGGCGGAATTCGACGCAGCCTTACGTCCCGCATCGTGGGCTTCCTGGTGGAGCCCTACAGCGTCCGTCACAAGTACGAGGGAACCTGGCCGACCGCGGAGGCGGAGGTGAAGAGCATGAAGTACAGCACGTGCTCGATAGCCGCTCCGGTTACGAACAGACAAGATTCTCTGATGACCCTTGAAGACAACGACGAAGTGATCTTCACCTACGACGTGGAGTGGATCGAGGACAAGGCCACGCCCTGGGCGCACCGCTGGGATCTGTACCTGAAGGGCAATCCGGACGACAAGATCCACTGGTTCTCCATCACCAACAGCACCATGATCGTCTTTTTCCTCGCCGGCATGGTGGCCATGATCCTGGTGCGAGCGTTGCACCGTGACATCAGCCGGTACAACGAGTCGACCGCGGCCGAGGACGCCAAGGAGGAGTACGGGTGGAAGCTCGTGCACGCCGACGTGTTCCGCCCGCCGCAAACCATGCCTATGGTGTTTGCAGCCATGGTCGGCTCCGGCGTCCACCTGCTGGTCATGACCTTCGTCACGCTGGTCTTTGCCTTGTTGGGCTTCCTCTCCCCCGCCAACCGGGGCTCTCTTGTTACGGCCTTCGTCCTCCTCTTCGTCTTCCTCAGCTCCTTCGCGGGCTACGCCTCCTCGCGCATTTATAAGATGTTCCGCGGGACGGACTTCAAACGCAACACCCTTGTCACAGCGTTCCTCTTCCCCGGAGTCGTCTTCTCTATCTTCCTCGCCCTCAACGCCGCCGTGGCTGCCCGGGGGTCCACCCTGGCTCTGCCCGTGGGCTACTTCTTCCTCCTCA